AGAGCAGGATAACAAAGGAGTTATTGAAAATTAAAAGCAACCCTTTCCCCAGGCTGAGTCAGAGAGCATTCCCAGCCTAATAAGTTTTCATGAATGAGGGATAGAAGGCCCAACAGTTTTATCCTTCATTAGCTATGCTGAAATTCAGGCCAAGTCTCTTTGCGACACTGTCTTCTTTGGGGCTTGTGTGGAGAGGCTGCTCCACACTGGGTGTCAGCTCAGGGCCATTTTACAGTACTTAAAACTACTACTCAACAAGGTCTGTAACCTGAAACAATTCTTGCCATGTGGAGCATGCAGAGTGCTCTTGTGATGATGTTGAACAAGCGTCTATGACTAATGCTAATGCACACTTAATACCATTAAGAACTCAAGTAGCAATGCTACCCTCTCAGACACGTGGAGCTTTAGACCCATCATGACCCATTGCCATCACTTCAAACCTGTTGTGTCAGAGCCAGTCCATTTTTGTTTGTTCGAGAGAGACCATCCTTATCCTTTGAGTTTGTGAAAAGATCTCGAAGTGGAACTGTGCTTGAGCACCTCATTTTCCATCAAAACTGCCTCCAACTTATTTCACATCATTTTGATGCTAGAAACTGCTCCCACAGGGGCCTGGAACTGGCCCTGGGTTTCCACCAGAGGTTCACAAGTGCTGGAGAACCTATCTACAAACCTGGTCTGGTTCTGTTACAACTGCACATTTCCACCAGCTTTTGGGTTTCAATTGTGAGCATCTAGCCCAGTTTTACTGACAGTTACTGCAGCATAAAAAAAAAAGTACATTAGGTTTCTGTATTTGTCAGCTGTTTTGTTGCTAAACATTACTGTCTTCATATCAAACACTGGAGCAGTCCCTGCTATGTAAGCATGGCAGTTGGGCAGCAGCTGGTTGCCTGTGAGTGAGGCAGCCTGTCCTTTCACAGCTAGAGGGACAGGAGTGCTCTACCCATCTCTGGGTTACCACTCTCCTTAATGCTTTCTAACCAATCCCACTGTGCTTCAGACAGTTCTCGAATATTGAGCATGGCCACACAAACACTGACACCCACGTGCAGCATTTGAGGACTGGCTAATGGGAATAGAACCCATGACATGCAGGTGTACTCCCTGAGTTAAGGCAGCACTGTACTACGTCACCTAGTACCTGATAGACACATGAGCAGTTCTGCCTTATCCCAGCTACATAAAAAAAGGCAGTCATCACAACCTCAGAGGCCATTTTATATTAGAGATCGGCCCAAGGTACAAACTCAGATCCAACTTCTAAAAAACCCCAAAATATATAAGTGCTGCCAGGAGTATTTGGTTCCACCACTTTGGTTCAGGCCTATCTTTAGTTTAAGTGCATTGTGGAAGTAGATCTGGACACATCAGGTGAGCAGTTCTTAGCGCCCTTTACCATACTGGGATCCAGGGGGAGTGCAATCATCCTCAGCTCTGGTCTGAAGCATTCAAAAAGTCAAGTTAGGAATTGTCTACTGATTTTTTAAAAAAATCATTGTACCACAGCTGCTGGTTGTTGCCTCTACAGTGAGTTTAGTGAATTGCAGAGGTTTCATCTGGCTTAATTATTGCATTTTCTACCATATATATAGACACACACACACACACACACACAGTTTTTTTCCCCCTTGCTGTACCAATGTAACCTTAACATTTCACAACTGTGGGGCATTTCACGACATTAAATTGTCAGGTGAGCTTGTAAGAGCCTAGCTCCAGAAAGAGGAATACTAGAGTTTTCATGTTCCTCCTGCTTTGCTAGCAGAGCATGCCAAGTCCTAGGGCCAGATTTTCAAAAGTATTTAGGCACCTAAAGATGCACATAGCCAGGGAGTGGGATTTTTAAAAGTGCTTAGGAGCCTAATGCCCAACACTAGGAGTTAGGTGCCGAAGTGCTTTTGAAAATCCCATTAGGTGTCGCTACGTGTCTAAATCTCTCTTAAAATCTGGCCTCTAGTGGTGGAGATACATAGTTGATTTTTAAAGCTTGCAAGTTTCATAGATGGACCATCCAGTGTTCATTCAACTGTCCTGCAGAACACATGTATATAGGGTGCACTACTGGAGGACAAAAGGTATTTTGCTCTTACTGATTCAATACTGTTTAAACTGTCTTATGCAGAAAATTTCACCTTTGCCTTCTGAGTTGATAGATTTCCCCCTCCCCTCCCCCCAGGCCTGCGTAAGTGAGGAAGATCTACAAGCTTGATAAACCTTTTGCACCCAGCAATCAAAGGCGCTGCAAGAAATGAAGCCATCCTTGGTCTGGATCTGTAGCAGAGGAAACACTAGGATAATGAAATCCATTCCACTTCAGTTTTTTTACACAATGAATGTACATTGATGAATGGCCTCTAGGTTTGTTTTCAGTTTGTGAGTGTCCTGATGAACCGTTAGTCCATGGCCTGGCCTTGCTGACCCATGGAGGGGACAAGCTTGGCTGAGATGAGCAAGTCCAACAGGAACCCTTCAGGATCTCTTGAGCATCAGAGTTGAACAACTGGGAACTTCTTCCTTCCACCATGGATCTATAAAGAATAAAGTCCTGCCAATCCCAGTGGTTCTGGCTTCAACAGTTTTGTAGTTTACTTTTTTTTAAATGGACAAAAAGCCCCCAACCCAATCTCCTCCCTCCCTACCTCTGGGGGACAGGGAGGAGGCTATTAGCATTTACTGAGAATTCTCCACTCCCTTATAACCTAAGGATTTGTCCACGTGGGAAGTGTGGCCTGATTTCAGTCACCAGGGCAGCTATGTTGGTGAAAAAGTCCTAATTGTAGACAGGCAAAGCCATGATTTGCTCCTGGTACAACTTAGCCCAATTTCAAGGCTGGGTGAGCCACACCAGTGCACACTGTAGCTTACAGCAACTTTGTCTGTGTGCACTAAACTTACACTGCTGCTCCTGCTGTAGACAGAGGCTAAGGCCAAATTCTTGATGCATTAGAGACCTCTTGTACAGACCCACAAAGCAGTGAAATTTACTCCAGGACTGGCCTGAGCCATGTGGGAATTTGTGGAGAAGAATTTTAAGGGGATGGGAGGGGGGGGAAATAGAGGGGATACACATTACTGTAATTAAATTGCATTGTTGGCCACATTAAAAAAATACAATAACCACCTACTGGAAAAGGTTTTTTGTTTCTTTGTTTTTTTAAAGCAGTTGCCCCTCCTAACCATGTAAGGATCAAGGCCTGAGAAGAAATCCTGCTGTGGCGCAATGTAGTCATCTACTACCGTGATCACCCCCTGAGCCATCAACTTGTCTCACTATAATGACCTGAGTGCAATTATATTGCTCATTATTTTAGATCAGTTCAGCAAGACAAGCTGCTTTTTTGTACAAAAAGGAAACATGAGTTTTAAGAGTCTTTTAAACACATGAAGCCTGAAGCCACATTTGGCATGAGGGAGAGTTCCTTGTTTCTGTTTCACTGAATTAGAACGTTCCTTGTTAATGTCCAAGGAAGAAGATACGTAGAGTTAGGGTGGACCTTCTTCCCCTTCCACAAAGCAAGTATGCTGCCGGTGTGGTGTGAACAGGAGGATGAATGCTAAGAGGAAGTACAGCGAGTCTCTGCTAATCCCCACCTAGGGTGTGTCTACACTGCAGCTGGGAGCCAACTTCCCATGCCAGGTAGACAGACTTGGGTTGCAACACTCAACGTGGCAATGTGGATGTTGTGGCTCAGGCGACAGCTCAGGCTCTTCAGCCCACCCAAGGCCCTACATTGGAGATCAAGGGGCTAGGCTGAGTATCCGACAGAGCTGCAATGCCCACACGGCTATTTTTCACACTAGAGCTTGAGCCCTCGTGGGGTGAGTCCCTCTACCTGGGCCAGGAAGCTCCCTCTCAGCTGCAGTACTGACCGAACCTTAGCTATCCATTGGAATTTAAAGACTAGATGGAGTAGGTGCCACCCTTTAAGCCCATGGCAATAGTGGCCCTGGAATTAAGGATGGCCTGGAGGACCTTCCTCATCCCACTCCGTGCAAGATCAGGTTCTACGACAAAGGGAGGTGTTGGGCCGAGCGCGCTAAATGGGGCAGATGCTCCTGAAATAGATCAGGACAAGCTACTAGGGACTTTATTTTACCACTTATAACCTCCTTTTCCCTCCGTTGATTTCTATCATTAGCAAGGGCACAAAATCACGTCCAGTTTCTGGTGCACTAATTCCATTCATTGTATGCCCGTGCAATACTCTATCTTGCTAACATGGGAAACTACATTTCATTCACGTCTGTTGTGTTATAGGAATGAAGAGCAATTGAAGGTTTCAAGCCTCTGGCTCCTGTTATAGTTAGGTTAATGGTACCCTCTGCTGGCTAAAAGCATAATTTAACAGACTAAAATCCCCACTAGTCTCTTGCATGGCATTGTAAAGGGACATATACTGGTGTGAACAATGCGTGAACCTAGGCAGCCTTTCACAGCTGAAAGAAATGGCCTACACTGGATTAACTTTACAAGATTTCTTTCAGGATCTCAGTTTTTACCCTAATTATATCCATCATCAATACTGTGATCCTCCTGCTAATAACACAATAAAGTGAGCCAAGTTCTGAATTGAAGCTGGTTCTTAGTCTTGAACAGCCTTTTAAGTCAGTTTCGAGATTTAAAATATTCCTTTTCAGATTAATACAACTATTTAAACGAGGCACAACCCCCAGATTAGTTAGCAATGCATATTAGAGCCATTGTGGGTTTGTAATGGATGCAAACAGCCTTGTAAGTACAAAAATTCACTTCTATTCTATGGTAGTGCTGAAATCTATGAACACCCCACCCATCTCCACTGATTAGCTTCCACGGAAAGATTTTAGTAGTTCAAATATCAATTCCTCTTGGCTCTGCATATTATGTGGAATAATCTCCCCTGCCTCTGCAGGAGGTGGTGTGATGGAGCATGTCCTCCATCTGGGCTCTGGGAAGACTCTAGCCAGCTTAACTGGGGTCACCTAGATATAGCCAGTCCTGTTAGGTGTGTAGGCGCATGGAACCAGACAAAGGCTGTAAGCAACTGCATCTTCTCCCCAGTCAATCCTCAGTCTCAGCTGATATGCTTAAAAGAAAGACAAAGGCTTGACTCAAGGGATACAAAAGAGTGTGGTTCTGCTTACACCTTAGAAGAGGCGGGATGTTTTGTTGGAGTCTGGTTCATGCCCCAGACAGGGGAAGAGCTCTGTTTACCCTGAAAGGTAGCTAGGGACACCATTCCATTCCCCCACAACAATCTGGTACTGGAGGATATGGGCTAGCAGACTAAGTAACCCTACAATCTGATGCAGTAGGCAAGCCCTCGGATCCCAACCTCGATGGAATGTTGTACTAAAGCATTTTATAGGCCAGACTACATGAGAGACCAGTCTAAAAAGGTAACACAAGATGCTTTTATTCCAAAATGTGAAGTATAACTCTACAGACTTAGCAAATCATTTTTTCAAACCCATGAATAAGTTACTCTGCAAACTTTCCTTTATCTGCTCCAAGATCTAACAATTTCTTAAAAATAAAATCACAATTCCAGACAAGAATCATCAGATTTAAACTAAAAGAAGTTACCACTCATCCTGTAAATGGAAAAATTTAGGACTGAACTTTTCCATGGTCATCTTCCAGCCAAGGGGTGGTTCCTAACAGGACACTTCTGGGAGGTTGTTCAGTAACCCAGACTGCTAGTAATAGACTAGGAACATCATTTCTAGTGAGATATCCTCGTGGAGCACCTTCTGTGTTGGAAAAGGGGCTGCCATCAGTGGAAGTCAGAGACCGGAGATTCTGCAAAGACAGAAGGAGTTTTCACAGTATTCAAGTTCTGTGAGGAACGCCTCATTTACACAATTTAACTTCTCTAGTCCTTTCCCTTCCTCCGTGCAGTTAATGACCTGTTCAGAATAGAACGTTGCTTCTTCAGTGGAGTCCTGAGCTTATTTATGACATCACTGCTGCTAGATACATCTCTAAGACAAGTTATATGACAAATCAAGGTCTGAACAAAGATTAGATTCTTTGTAGCTTTTCCTTCAATATAGGATTTGTGCCAGAACACCATTTCTAGCCAGCTTTCCAATCCCCAAACACAGCTACTCAGTGAAAACACGCAAGGCCTCAGATTGTTGAGGAAATTCAGTGCTCTTTTCACAAAGCAGGGATTCCCATCCTTGTTAACAGTGATGAAGCAGGAGAATTTCCCCTTCCAAAAAAAGACAAAAGCCTTCCAAGTTTAGAGGAGACGGACACGCTCCTCCACCCCCTTTTGGAGCTCAGGTTCTCCTGCAAAATCAGAGGGCTACAGCTCAGTGGCAAGTCTTGAAGGAAGTGGTTGTTAGCTGGTGCACAAAGTAGATGTCTAAATTCAGACCATCTACCCTGCTAGAGAAAATAACTACACTGCTTTACAAAGCACAAGCAAGACCCTTCCAATCCATCTGAACTATACACAAGGCATTTGAACAAAATGTTTCTATAAAACCCACCCACGTACCCCCCACCCATGTTCCCCCTTACTCACCCCATAGTTCAGGACATGAAAGTCCTCACACTTCCCCTGATGACCGCTCGGCAGATGGGGCATCGTCTCAGGCTGGGGGCACATTCCGCACACACCACCAAGTGGCCACAAGGAACGAAGACAATGGACACATCTTTGTCCATGCACACTTTGCACATCCTCTCCTCCTGCAACCGTCGCAGCTGCTCCTCCGTACTCAGTGGGGGCTCTGCTGAAAGAGACATACCGAAGTTTTGTTACAGAGCAGTGTTATCTGAACTTTTTTTGAAAGGATCTTTCTGTTCCATAGTTCAAGAGCTGGATTTAGGGCCATAGTTTTCCCTTCTCGTTTTGTTCAAGATTGTGACCATGACAATGGCCAGGACAAACCCCTGCTATTCCAGTCCTGGGCCCCTCAGAGTTTGTCCACAGGTGGTGGGTTTGAGATTTGAACAGTGGGGAAGAGAGGATACAGTTAGTGATCTGTGATGTATGGGGAATCCATGGTAACTCTTTTGGGTGTATTAATCTTGCCTAACACAATAGACCCTATTCCCTGAATGGGGCCTGGAGGTGCTACCACATTCGGAATAATAAGAGGAAATTATTTTGCAATTTAACTGTTACATGGGAGGTAATGAGCCTTAGCATTTCCTGCTGTAGAGACGGTTTTGGTTCAGCCCAGGCAGATTTTATTACCTCACCTGATTCTTTTGAGCACTCAGCCTGTGCGTCTTGTCTCTGTCCTGGCAAACCTGTCTCCCTCTCCGTACGCTCTATAGAAATCAGAAGGAATGGAGATGGCATTAATGCCTCCCATGCTTAAAAAATAATATTAAAAAAAAACCACAAGAAAAACACACACACACACACACACACACACATACACAGGGGTCCTTTGCTGGGATTTCAGTGATGTCTGTTCAAGTGTGCTGTGTTGCTAAATGAAAATGGTTCTCTTTAGGAGGTGGCTAACCCTGCACGCTCAGCCTGGAATCAAACAGCAAAGCTGGGTTCTCGGATTCTCATAGCAACACCAAGACTTGTTGAGGAACCATAAATCAGATAATCCAGCTCCGATGAGTCCCATCCCCCCAAACAAGTGCACACAAAATTCTGATTTGCGGGGTTTTCTAAACAGAAAGATTTGTATTTTATAAAAAGGCTATTTTTGGTCAGAAAGATTGCAGCCAGCGTTGTAGCACGTTAGAGATCGAAAGGAGTGATGTAGAGCAGCATTTGTTCTTTCCTATGTAGAACTGCAGTTATAGGGTGGGGGGTACTAACCCTAGAAATCTTCCTTTAACAATTGCCTGTGTCCTCACCGTTTAAGCTATAAATCATGTTATTAGCACATTTCTACCCCGCCCCCCAACTGCACCTCAAATCAGACAGAGATGGAATGGCCCTCTTGAATCATCCAGTTTAAATAGCAGGCACAAAAGGAATCCATTTCTGGATTTGCTGCAATGTTAGCACTGGGTGTACACCTAAGTCTTAATGTAGTACCACAGCTTTTAAAGCAAGACGTAATAGAGAAATATTGAAAAGCAGCGAGACTCCAGGTTGCTGGGAGACCGCTAATGTAACAAATGTTCCAATAACTAGGCACTCTGCAGATCTTCTACAACTGAACCACTTTCCTCAGTATCACAGGGCTATGAACTAAGGAAGCATTATTACATTTCATTCTAGTCTAGGAAGAGACAGTGTAGACCCAAGAGATCGCGTCACTGAAGTGCTAAAACTTCAGCGACCATCAGGAGGAGGAGGTGGGATGCGATTAGATTGATCAGTGAGGTTTCAGAGGCTAAATGGCCGTACCTCTTTCTTCCGCACTGCTGCTCTCTTCCCCATCTACCTGAAGCAGATCCAAGACCAGTTCGGACACAGATAAGTAGCAGGTGCCAGTCAGCAGGTGTCTATTCTGGACCAAGCTCATCACCAAGCTGTGGTCAAAGCCCATCTGCAGGACATTCTGCACTATGGAAGACTGATCCAGAGGAGATGACAATTCCCGATTCCCCACAGAATCTGTAAAGCACAGGGAATCTGTAAAGCACTTTAAAAACAAGAGGGGGAGCTTAACAGGCTACAAAAGTAGCCAACTCCATACCTGGCAGGATATGGCCAGGGACTCTAATCTAACGGCGTTCTCTTTCTCAGTGTAGAATATTGTAACTATCCAACGGCCAATTTTGTATGATCGCGTTAGATAGGCAAGATGGAGTTCCACATTTCATGAGGCCATTTATGAAATGTAAACTAATCCCATAGGTCATGCCATATTCCATCATAGTAACAGATTTAAAACAAATATTGGTCTATGGCCATTAGAATGCTACAATCTGTATATCAAATACCTCATTCCTTCTCCCATCCAGGACTGCAGGGACTCAAACGACCCTGGAATAAAGGGTGAAATCCTGGCCCTGCTGAAGTCAATGGGAGAATTGCAGTTAACTTCAGTGAGGTCAGGATTTGACCCTAAGCATCTGAGGTGCTCAGAGGCAGAACTTTCACCCAAAGTTCCATTAAACAGAATTTAAAGAAAAAGCATAGAAGGGATATCAACCTGCATGCTTCACAACATGCACCAACGGGCAGTGGTAAGGAACAAAAAGCAGTCCTCCCCTCCCTGGATTGCCCAGTTCAAGTAGGTTCTTACAGCTTTTTCTAAAGCAGCGGGTATAGTTCAGTGTCAGAGAGAGAAAACTGCACTAGCGGCACCAGCTCTGGCAAGACAGTCCCTAGGTTTCAGACAGTTATTCTTTTTGCACTACTCGTGCCATTAAATAAGAGCTCTGGTTTCACTGGCGTTTAAAAAAAAATTGCCCCTTTTAATCAGTTTTCACATCCTAAAACAGAGGACTCAGGAACTAAAAGGCCGGGGGTGGGGGAAGGGAAATGCAACTGTAAATCTCTCCCCTCTGATCCAATCCATCCCATTCAAGAAAGGCCTTTCCATGAGAATCTAAAATAAAATACCTAAGTAAGTGATCCCATCCCAAAGTGTAGGCTCTTCAAAGGCCCTCCTTATAGGACAAGCAGATTAGATGGCTGAACACTTCAACTCAGTGAGGGAACCTTCTATTAAGATGTATGAAAACCAGACCGCAGCTACTTAACAGTTGGCTTCAGTTTCTCAGCTATATTCTATCCCAAAATACATGCAGACAATTGTGAATGAAGTTATGTCCCCAAGCTCCTTTTGTTCTCAGTTAACTAATTTGAACCCTAAAGCATTCCCTTGGACTTCAAACCCATTGACTACTCCTGGGGGGGAATTCTTTGCCACTGAACATGTGAAGCATTTATGTCCTCCACAGATTTCTTTGCTTCCCTGCAGGAAAAGGACTCTCTCACAGGGAAGCAAAGGAAAGCTGCAAGAGCAGTCACACACCACTCCCTAGCAGTGCAGGTACATAGTTTCAGGCACCTGGAGCAGCCAGCAGAGAGGTAAATCAGCACAGAGCTGGGGACATCTCAACTCAGTGGCCCTGTTCCTGAGCCAGGATCAGCTGCTAGTCCCAGCTGGGCTGGAGGCAGGAGAAGATAGGATTTCCTCTTCCCTGCTAGGAGTTGTTGGGGCTGTGTCAGACCCACCCCCAGAAACCTCCCCCAACTGCAGGAAGCTCAGCAAGCCTCCCCTGCTTCCGGTCCCTATTGCTCCTCCATCCAACCCCCGTGTATCCTCCCATACCCAGACACTGCTACCTAGCCTCACCTGGTACATACCGAACCCCCTCACCCTCCATTCCCAAACCCCACCAAACCTCAACCCCTGCCTCCGGACCCCCACCCCTGCACCCAGACCCCATGCCTCTGGACCCCCACCCCTGCACCCAGACCACTCCCCACTGAGCTCCCTGCACTCAAACCCCCCACCCTGATGCCCAACCCCCTGCACCACCCTGAGCCCCCACATCCAAATTCCCATGACACTGGACCTCCAACTAGCTCCACCCAGATCCCCACCCCACCAAGCCCCACTCCCCCAGCACTCCCCAATGACACCCCTCTGCTGAGCCCCAACAACCTTCACCTGGAAGCCCCTGCAGAGTCCCATTACCCCTGCACCTGGAATCCCCCCTCCCTAATGAGCCTTTGCGCATCCAGATACCCCCCTCAACTAGAACCCCCACTGAGCTGCCTGCACCCAGACTGTCCCACACAGAACCCTCTTACCCCATACCTGGATCCCCCCCACACTGAGCCCCTCCACACTTGGATCCTGCCTGGTTGAGCTTGCCTGCCCCACACCTGGTGCACCTGGCACAGAAGGACAGGGCCCCGGGTGTTTCTGGGGCAGGCCCAGGTGGTGTGCTTTGTCAGGGACAGGTGCAGCCTCACCGCTGAGTTTGTGTCCTAGGGATGGGGGCAGGGGGCTGCTGGGTGATCTCCCACCTTCATGCAGCCAGTGGTCTGTGCGCCCCACTGCCATGCTGGAGCCTCTGCATTTATTAACACATAAAACTTTCAAAATTCGGCATGCAATATTTTAAAAAGCTGAATGTTTTGGCACCGAATGCCTTCAGGAGTAAAATTGACACACACTGTTACAAAGAGTGGTTCACGTTAATTTTGTGCATGGTTAGAAGAGATTATTGAAATTGTTCCAATCACTTAGGAGTTACTTTAGTCCCAAATGTTTTCTGAATCTGTAAGAAGTTACTTTCTGAAGTTTGGCAATACCTGTATATGCCATTTACCTGCCTGGAGGGCATGGAATGTTGAGGATTCTAACTTCCCCAGAAGAGGTGCAGTTCTGGCCCCTCCTCCTTCCTAAATACACAAGGGCATGTTCCCCATCACCTACCTACTGTAACACTTCAATGCATGTGCATCTGAAGGAGTATTTTACTCTGAGATGAAGGTCACCAGCAAATCCAGTAGCAAGCATGCACATAATACTTCTACCAAGAAAAGGGGCTGAACGTGCAGTAATTGGTGTTGTCCTAGTCATGAAGAGTTCACTTTATTTTGCACTTAAGAGATCTAGGAACCACAATAGAGCAGTCAGCTCCCTTCAGAGCACAGTTCAAGGCACTTGTTCCATATCTATCCTAGCCAAAAACCTCCAGTTTCATGCCAAGTCTTCAGTCCTTGGAAAGCGCACACACAAAAGGGTAGGACAGAATAAAATCACCAGTGCTGCATTAGCATGCTCCTGGAATTTCTTCTGCAAGGATCTCAACATTTGTTTAAAACAAAAACAGACAGTTACTACTCAGAACCACAGTGGTGGTCATTCCATAGCCCGCGATAGGTTGAGGAGGAAGCTATGTCTACACAACAAGCCAGGACTGCAATTCCCCTTCCCGTGTACGTATACTCGCCATAGCTCAATGAAAGCTAGTGCAAATGTAAGTGATAATACAGCTGCAGGAGCCTGGGCAACAGCAGCAACAGAGGAACAGCGGAGCGCTGCTAAGTGTGCAGCCACCGGTTTCAGATGGGATTGTACTCAGCGTGTCTCATCCATGCCTCTGCTGCCCTAATGACAGTGGCTATATTACTATTAGCTCTCACTAGTTCTCACTGAGCTAGTGAAACTATGTGCACACGAGCAGGGCAATCCCCCTCCTAGCTCGGAGATGGAGAACATTTGAAGATTCATGGCGAAACTGGAAAGATCCTATTCTATATCACTTAGCAGTCCCTTGGCAGACACCTCAGACAACCCCAGCAGAGGCTTTGGAACAGCCTGAATTTGTTCACTTTTCCTTCCTAAGCATGAGCTTTTGAAATGCTTCTGGGTTGGCCTTAGCCACCACCTGCCACCATTTTCCTCTCTGCAGAGATTCAGAGTGTTATAAAGACAGACCTGCAGAAAATCCTGTCTGCTTAGTGCACCCATGGCAAAGTTCATAGGACTGAGGCAAGCGGTGGAAAATTCTCTCAGAAAGACAAGATGGGCGCCAAGAAGAAACTGTTTCCCTAGCCTAGTCTCATGTTTACATGCTGCTTCCACAAGGCTGCCACCACTCCCCAAGCCTGTAAAGGGTAGCTTTCTTCCCTTACTCCTCAAACTTACAAAAGCCACTGCATTCTATCCCCAACTTCCAAAGGTCTCTGTGTGTTGAAGATCTAGCACCCCCAACCACCATTTCCAGAAACAGCTGGCTTTAAACTCTCCTCCATATTCACCTCAAAAAGGCACCCAAGAACCACTCGCAAGCTCTTCTACTGGCAGATTTACTTTTAAAATACCTTCATTGTGGGTTCTGAGGACACAGGCAATATTATCACTAGCAATGGAGGAGCCTACAGAAATCGAGATGAGCACCCAAGATTCTGAATGCTAACCATGTGTCTTGTCCACAAAATTGGTCGCTCAAGAAACTAGACTTAACTGATTTTAGTTCACTGGCCATTCTGAGAAGTTAAAAAAATAATTTCGGGATGAGATGAAACATTTTGTAGGAAATAAAATTTAATCAGTTTAAATAGTGGGAAAGTTGTTTGAATAAAAAAAATTGAAACTCAATTTAATAGCGTCAAAATGAAGTGTTCTGATTTTTTCAAAAGTTGAGGGCTTCCCACCCCCCAACCAAGACAATTTGGTAAATTCAACATCAAGTTTGCTAAATGTTTTCACCAACCTGAATCTGCATTTTTTGGCAAAAAAGCGTTGGCTGAAAAGTAATATCCAGCTTTAGCAGACACTTTCAACAGCAGAGCTCACCTGGGTTTCAGGTCCCAGAGGAAGTTTCTTAGTAATAATTCTGGAAGCTATTTCACATCAAAATGCAAGCCTCTCAGAAAGGGATTCCGCCTGCAAACTCTAGAATATGTGGAAGCCAGAGCAATAGATCTGCAACACTTTCATCAAAAAGGCAAGACAATATGCATTTCCACACAAACCTTGGGGTACAGGGGGATCTTGTTCAGCCCGTTGCCAGGAGCCTCCCTGAAAACATCACAAGACACAAAACAGTCACAGGAGGGAAGTGTCTCCTCAAACCTTTCCCCCCTCCACTGCACAAAAAACCCATTTCAAACTCACTGGAGCGTTGAAGTCAGAGTCCTGAACACTGCTAACAAAGTCTCTGCCCCTGGACTGCAGCAAAAACTCACACCTGCGGAGAAAAAGGCAAATACCCAGTAAAGGACAGCAGACCTTGTCTGAAATTCAAGATCATGAGGGTGGTACTAAGCTCCCTAATGAAACAGGGTGTACAAAGCACAAATGTCATTCTTGCCACAGTGGACAGGCCCTCCCCTGCTGTAAAAAAAAAATCTTCCTGGTCAAGCAGAAAGACTGGTGGTTTGAGGCTCCTGATCTCCCCAGAACAGGCCAGACTTCATTTTAGGCCTGTGAGATTGGCTTTTGCAATTGAACCTTTCAGACAGACTGGATCACGTGGAAAATGGGTTTGTGGCCTCACCTGTAAGAGCCACCACACCAGGACTAGGTGTATGACATCCTGCCATTTACACATGAAGGCCAATACAAGTGGAATACAAGGGCTGCTCTGATGCCAGTAAGAGACAAGGGCAGTGTTAAAGTTACCATGAAGCAGTGGTAATAGAGATTGACCCACAGATCACTGTCCATAAACTCTATAGACATTGGAGTCTGAACTCCGCAGCTCAGGCGGAGTTCTAGTGTGTGATTTCGATTGAAAAGCATTAG